ATAGTTGCTTAGAGTTGCAGCTGAGAGGCCGGCAAGTTAGGCATTGGAGTCCGCAGTCACTGACGCAAGCAAGCCTCCCTGCTCGCTTCAGTGCCTGGCTGCTGGCCGCCATCTTGGCTGACAGTTAATTTGCATATACTCACTGATTAGCCAATGAAAAGGGTAGCGGTCGTACGCTAATTACCATGTTTCTCTTTTATTAGTGTAGATGTATGTGTATGTGTGTGTATATATATATATTTCCATTCATGTTAATGGGAAAAAATGTGTTCAGTTCCAACCCAAGACACCTAAGTATTTTTAACAGAAAACTATATCAATGAAACAAAGCAAACAAAAAAATTATATAAGCAATAAATAATTTTAAATTAAGAATATGGCTTTTACATAAAATGTAAGGTATAAGGACTTGTACTGGCCAGGAAGATAAGATTTAATATTAGTGGGGGTTGGTAGAGGAAAGGTGCAAGCTAGTCATGCTTTAAAGGTGATATTATTTATATTTTTGCACCTTTTTCTTTACCAATTTTTTTTATTTAAAAAAAATTTTTATAGCTTCACTTAAACCAACATAAAAATAAAGTTACACACACACACACACCTTAGGGAAAATTAAAGGCTAAATATCAGAATACTTTGAAACGTAGGTAAAGAGTGCATATACAATAGACTGAAGAGATGGGAAATGTTATACAGAGTAAAACATTATGGATTCTCCAAACAGTACACAATTCTAATTTGTTCCACATCATAATTTATAACTAGAAACATGGGACATATTGGGGGAGTGTCTTCATTTGAAACTGTAATATCAAAATATCACTTTATATTGTGTACTTTTACTATGTATTAAAAGGCATTACACTCAAGGAAAAAAATAGCAGTTGTATTAATCCTTTGTGGCATATTTCCCCCCCCCCCCAAAGTTGGTCATACCATCCCACAGTTCTTTTTACAATGTAACCAACATTCACTCTGGCCCGTGTGGCTCCGTTGGTTGCAGTATCCTCCTGTGCACCCAAGGGTCTCGGGTTCCATCCCATGTTGGGGGTCAGGGTGTGTACAGGAGGCAACCGATCAATGTTTCTTTCTCACATCAATGTTTCTCTTTTCCTCTTCCTCTCTCTCTAAAATCAATTCTTAAAAAATAAATAAAATAAAACAATGTAACCAACACTTTTCCTACTGAGAGTTGGGGCCCTTGTTCCCTCCCCTAGAGTCTGGTTGGGGACTATGACTGTTCTGGCCAATAGGAAAGAAGTAATGCTATTTGACTTCCAGAGCTAGGTCATAAAGAGGATATGGCTTTCACCTCGCTTCCCCCCTTTTGCAAGGCTCACCCTTGAAACCCAGCCACCATGTTGGGAGGAAGCCCAGGACACATGAAGAGACCATGTGGAGGTGTGCCAGCTGACAGCCTGCGTTAAGGTCTCAGCTGATAATATCAATGGCCAGACATGTGAATGAGGAAGGCTTCAGATGATTCCAGTCCCCAATCTTCAAGCCACCCCACCTGTCACTGAGCAGAACAGAGACAAGCTAAACCTGTTGAGCCCAGCCCTAATAGCAGACTCATGAGCAAAATAAATATTGTCATTGTTTTAAGCCACTAAGTTTGGGGGTAAATTGTTTATAATCATAGTAATTTAACTTTCAACAGCCATAATTGAGAACAGTTGTTAGCTGAACAGCTATATGAGAGGGATATCATCTCTATCTAATTTTTTCCCTCTTTTATCCCCCCCACCATTTTTTTTTATCATGCAGAACTAACATGGGGTAGATAATGATTGGGAAGACCCACTTCTCTTTCTCCTGACCCTAACACAATACTGGCACAGTGTAGGTGCTCAATG